AGTCGCTACGATACATGAAAAAGGACAAACAAGACCAGTGATCAATTTGTTAGTAAAGATTACATAAACGCAATCTTTTTCTTCACAAAAAATTGATGCAAAAAAAATATAAGTTTAATCAAATAATGAATTTCCTCAATATAAATGTTTATTTTAATTATACAGATTCAAAAGCAATAAACATGCAATAAAATCATTCAAACAAAATTACATTCAACACTCTTTAGAAGTTTTATATCTGTATAATTCAATTCCTTCTCAACACTTCCGTTTTGGTCATTTATGCTGTCCGTACCTTAAAAAAAGTACAAACTTTGTACAAAAATTATCCATAGATAAAACAAATAATTATGACTGCAAAAAGTATTTTCGTTAAAATAACTAAGATTAACAGTATCAAAAGTATTCTATAGAATAAAGTTAGTTGTTTTTCAGCGTCTTCCTCAAAACCTCTTTTGAATTGACAGATAGACAGTTTAGAGTGTGTTAAAAAGTAAAGTTATACTGTAAAAAGAGCCAAATAAACGGTCCATCAACAAACTATTCAGAATTCTAACTCTACTGTACTATTCTAAACTACTAATGATTATTTAGCTTAACTAAGTGTACAGATCATATGCAACATCAGTAGCATCAAAAATACATAAAAAAAAGCTTGTTAGATATGGTTCAAAAAATATTAAATAAAAAAAAAAATATGTGTTGTTTAAATACAGCTTTTTAACTTGATGATGCAGCAATTTAAAAAGCCATATGCTCAATTAACAGAAATATATCAATGCAACAGCAGCTTGTGATAACGAGAATTTCATTGTTCGCTTAGTCATTGCAACTAACACAGATCAGGTGACAAACCAGCTGAACGGCTCGCTATTCTGCCACCGTATAACAACAGTAGTAGTCGTCTTCTAAATACCCCTTCATAAAACTGATCCTTAAAAGCAGAAACCAACAGGAATAAAACACCTAATCATTCCATATTTTCTTATCTCTTTCTAGATTTTTATCATCTTCAACATCAACAAATTTTCCGCGGATGAGGGTAAAAGGATGTGTTAATAATCAGTAGCACTGTACGGTCCTTATTATCGGCATACTCAACCCTCTATCTTGACCTCTTCCAAGCCCTCTTTTTCCTTTTCCAAATAAAAAAATAGATTTTATTCCTGATAACAAATCCCCCTCCCCGAAAAAAAAACATAAAGCATTTTGTATCCACAATAGTAAATAAACAGAAACGTTTATTTGTTTTTGGTAAGTAACTGAATAAACAGAATTAGTGAATAAAATGGAAAATTACTTTGACATACAACCGATTAAATGCAACAAGTATAAAATTAAGCAAACATATTTTAACAACTGTTTATTTCCAGATATATATTTTGATATTTTATTAGAATCAATTTATAGGTTTTTCAAAAATACAGCTCAATAACAATTCCATTAATCCTCCTTCACAAATTCACAAATAAATGAACGGCTTTTTTTTCTTTTTTTTTTTTTTTATTTTTGGATGTGTTATTTGCATTGTACTAAAAATGTTGGAAACAAAATTTGTGGCCAACAAATGAAAAACACAGGGACCAAAAAAAAAAGGAAGAAAAAGAAGTGAACTGACACAAAAAAGATGAAAAAAATAAAAGGGGCTTTTGCAGTTCTTAGAAGTTTCCATCTGTTTGTACACAAAAGTTGTCGACAATTGAACCTCAATAACAGAACACAGAAAAGAGCAGAGGAATCTTCTAAACTTTATCTCATACAGAACACCAAATCGTTTCATAATATACCACTGAATATAATGCACAATTTAAAACACTTTTTTTTTGTTTTCAGACGGAAACTATTCTAATCACCGTTGTCCTCCGAATGCCTTTACTATTTTTTGTTTACTCAAATAACCTTTTCCCCGAAAGTCAGAGCAGCTCATTAATAAACCCCATTTTAAAGCTGCTGTTCATTAAATCGTCTACTCATTTCTTTAGAAAAAAAAAAAAAAAAATCACTGAAAAAACATTTAACAAGCATTTTTAATTAACAAATAAAAATATAAAAAAGGAAATGGAAAAGGCATGAAAAAATTTTAAAGATAAATAGTTTTTTTTAATAGAGATTATTATGTAAGTGTTAATTTGAAAAAAAATTTTTGTTAAATAATATTCACATAGTCTTTGTTCAAAAAATTATTTATCTTTATAAGTTTTCAGAGTTTTTGTCAGAAAAAAAAAAATTTTTTTTTTCATTTACAAATTGTATACATTCATTTATAAGTTTTTTTTTCGTGCTTATCGCTATCTACTCAGTTAAACTAAAATCTATTCAAAAAACTACTCCTTATATGATAAGAATAAACGAATACTACAAACAGCAAATCAGTGCAACATTAATACTGAAATAACAGCTGAGAGCAGATCGATAAACACAGACAGATAGATAAGAAAGATGAACAGAAATTATTGGATTGATTGGTGAATAGATCGATGGATGAATAGGTGAATGGATCGATGGATGGATGGATGGATGAATGAATGGTTACTAGACTGAGCATTTAAGAACCATTTGCCAAGTGTAACAACAGCTTAGCTAACCACAGCAAACAAGTACTCAGAGTTTAGCATAGCTAAATGATCATTTTTCCTCCCAACTTATCATCGTCATCATCATCATCAACAACGTCATTGACATCCAGTTTCTAATCTAACGGCTTAATTCACATGTTTTAGTGCTTAGCCACTAAACACTACAGTGACACGTTAGAATTATTTATAACTCGCACTAGACTCTTTGTTCGTTCAGTCTTACTTGCAATACATCACTAAGATCAGCACCAACACACACCACCACCACCACCAGCATTCTTATCACATTGCTTAATCCAACTAGCATGGCAGTCAACAAACTGTTACTAATTTCCATGTAATTAACCAACTTAAAATACTGATAATTTACAACATGTAATCATTGTCAGATACAAATAAGAAAAAAAAAAAATTAAATAGACAAAGCAAGTTAAAATGCTCACCTGGACGATATATTAGCATATAATAAATGACACTTAACTCTACTTCCTTTTTTCCTCTTACCTGTCGAGTTGTGGCTTTTTACTGTTATTTTATGAACCAAATATTATACGAATAGCAACAGTCAACAAGGAAGAGGCAAAACAATTATGCGAATAATGAAAAATAGCAAAAAATTTGAAGAAGTAATGGCTAAGACAATGTCAGCAACAGCAGTTTACTCAAATTCAAAACATAAAAAAAAAAACACTTGCAGCACGCAAATACAGAAACAAATACGCCTTTTGTGAATTATCAACACATCACCGATCTTTTCTCTCATACTTTTCAAAAAAAACCAAAGCAATAAATCTTCTCTTTGACCGTATTTAACGAAAAAAACAAAAAAAAAACACTTGAAGAAAACGCCCAAACATGCAGATGCCAAAGAACCCGTCTAAACTTGTTCTTGCTGTCCCCTTCCGCACTGCATGCATCAGAAACCGCTTTAACGATGTCGCCACCTTTCAGTAAAAATCCCACATACGCAAAATAACTACAACTTTCCTCTTAACATCCATTAGACATTTCAACCAATAAATTTAATGTTTCAAAAATGAAATGATTTGATAAAACACCAACACAAATATTATAAGCCAATGGCTAAAAATTTATTCAAAAAAACCCTGTCTTGAAGCTGCCAGCTGCTACCACTGTTCCCAAATTAACAAAACACCTGAACCAACTAATCGACCAGACAGTTCTAAATGATTAAGCAAAACAGTGATCAGCTACAGACAGCCAATACTACCAACAACTGAAATCACATCGCTTTTTAAAAGCCCTGATAACTTTGAAAACTTTGCAAAAGCCGCTTTTATACTTCCAGTTCACGACCATTATTTAAATTTTTTTCAAACCACGTCCAGCCAAACCTTCTCTGCTCTTCCCACTCTTTCATACAAATCCTTTTTACTCGTACGGCTCTTACTACCTCAATGTAGCTAAAAGATATGAAATATAGACCATATATTTGCTCCATAAGAACATCTACAAATATTAAAGCTTCCAGAGCACATATTTAAACCGGCATAATAAGGCATGTAGCCACACCAGTGTCTACCAAAATTAAAAATAAATGAACTCTGACTTGTTCACCTTTGTAAGCAAAAACTTATCCTTTCTTTTTCGAAAAATCATTACCTTTCACTGAGAACTTTAGTTTTTTCTTAAAACATCGAGAGTTTCCAGAAAACAATCTAGAATCTAGTAGACCATCCAGATCACCAACAAAAATCTTTCTTTCAAAGCAATTTATGAGGATGTTTGATCAGTAAAACTATCTTTGAAAAAAGCAACCAACGAGGGTCAAAGTTACGCGGAAAACTGAGCTAAATATAAGTACTATTACACCAATATTTCCAACGTAAATTTTCTCCCCTAAACTTCTCTTCTCCAAAAAACCAGTGTTCAACACAATTTCCACTGTCCTTTCCAACTACCCATACAAATGCTCCCCAGATATCTGCCAGCACTAACACAAAAAATTGAACTCTTTTTCAATACCAGTAAAAAAGTAAAGCAATCAAATTCATTTTTAAAAAAAGCCAAAGTGCATCTTAATCACCATATTTCTACCACCTCAATCAAAAAACCTAACAATAAGCGCATCACAAATTGTTTTTTAAAATGCTTCATATACAGAGCAATAAAAAAAAATTACAGATTGAGATAAAATTTTTATATTTGCGACGAATCAGCACATTTATCTACCATATTCAAAAAAGCGATCTTTTCACGTAAATCCTCGTCTTGAATTTCATTAACAATCGAAGAACATGCGTAACAAAACCTAAAATTTTTCCAATAAATTTTTTAATCTAGAGTTTTAAAAGCCAAAAGAAGCTAGGAAATCAAATTTGTAACAAACAAACCTTTCTTTTGAATCGCAGAGAAAAGAGGAACAACACAGCGAACAGATAGTTGATTTCGAGGACGGGAACTGTAATTTGGCAGATGTACTTAAAATAGTATTTATAACTCCTTTAAAACCTTCTGCCTGTTGATGACCAAGAAAATCAACGGTAATACTCTGTACCGACTTCTCCATCGATGGGTTCGGGAAACTGTTTGAGGTATGTATCACGTATTCGTCACATCCATCAAATCTAAATCTTTCATTCTAAACTGACATCACAACTCGAGCTAAACACACTACTACATTAGTATGTTAATATCATAAAAACCAAAAGAAATACCGGTTAATAAGTGCGATTTCTTTCAAACATATGTCGTGCAACGGACGAATTATTGACGTATCCTTGAAGCGTTTGTCAACAACTTCAGTTAAGCAAGCAATTGAAGAAGCTGAGATGAGCTAAGTACTTAAATGAACTAATCATGCTCAATAAATATAAAGTTAGAAACAAGAATAATTTACGATTCAACTACAACCTCAAGATACTTAACACTATGTTAAATGACACAAAATAGACAAAAATAATTCTTGAACAAACTTTCAAAAATACTGTTTTCTTCCCCCAGAGTAAACTATAATCAGTGGAAAGAAACTATATGACAAAGACAGTTCAACAACCTCTTCCAAAAGCGAGTGACGACAATGCTCGTCCGGCTAAATCTTCAGCACAGTCAGGCATCATTACTTTATCAATTCCAAGGCACCTAGCAACTTGTACAGTGAGCAGATCTCGAACGAGAGAAACTAATTCCAAACGCATGGAGGAACTAGCACACGAGCTAAGTAATTTACTCCAGTCATCCAACTGCAAAAGAGTGCCAGTTAACCAAAAATAAACTTTGTAGACCAAGAAAAAAGATAATTAGATTGAATAATAACTCCCTTTGTCCCTTCAAAAAAACCCATCAGTCATTGAATTTTTTTGGCACATTGTCTTAAACCATCCAAAAAAGATTTTTTTCCTCCAAGTTTTGTGTTTTATTTTTTTACTGGAGTTGATTTACATTAACTTTGAAACCGTTGAAATGAAACGTCAAATTGGGAAAAATATTTCCGGCAATCCCCTCTCTGGCAGAGAAAACAGGATGCTCCTAAAGTACTACAGGAAAGCATCTTCATCCAAAAAGGAAAAATATGTTTCACAGCCCTACTGAAGAATAAACTTTCAAACATTTGTTAAAACTGTGTAATATGCAGGATTTAACATTTAAGAAAAAAGCTGCGAATTATTCACTAACCTAGTCCAAAACAGAACAACAGTGAATTTTCTAAGTCAAATAAACAAACATTTCTTCCATCTTCTTTTCCTTTATATTATAATCGATGCTATAAGCAAAAAATTAAAAGACCCGGTGTTTTCCGCAGAAATTTGTCAGCCTTTCTGAAGTTATCAGATCCAAAATTGCAGCATAGTGAACAAGTAACCATTTAGCCTCCATAGATTTTTTCAAAATATTGACTTTTTCAGCCACCTCTTCAAGGTCATCATAACTGGTTGACTTCACAAGCACTAAAACCTAGAAAATTATAAATTTTTACAATAAAATTGAGATATCAGTAGTAAACACCCTTTCTTTACTTTCAAGCTCCTCAAGTCGGTTCCCAACCGGAGTTCACAAAAAGAAAAATAAGTTTAGAAGTTTTGTTTTAGTTTTTCAAACCAAAAGCTGAAAACACCACTTTAAAAAATGCGAAACTAACTACTTTGATGCAGAAGGAAATTCCTTTCAGAATCATAATGTTCTCTGAGGATATTTAGGTAAAGCTAAGGCACATAAAATCAGTTAGCTCCCTCATTACATAAAGAAATTGAAAAAGTGAATGCACTAATGGTATACCGTAGGAACAAGAATCAGCCTCTTATTTTTCTCAGCTTTCATGCCTTGAAAGACCGAAGACAAGAGGAACGCGGACTGAGGATTTCCTTCATATACAATAAGAGTTTCACGCCTGTTACCATCCTAAAAAACCCTACAATTTCATTAACAAGAAAAGAATGTTCAACTTTAACAATACCTTCGTATATGTGAAGTAAGAATAGACACTTCTTTGAGAAAAAAAAGACACAAAATAAATGCTAAACAATCTCAACAGACACAATGAATTCCCAATAAATTTAGTAGAAAGATTTTTTATTCAAAATACAGAAGAATTTTTACATTTACTGCTAAAACTATTCCCATTCACTGCATTTCACTTTTTACATCTTCAAAATTAATGAGAGTGAAGAGCAGCAGCATTAAATAACAAGAAGAAGTTAACTAAGTCAAAGAAATGGGAGAAGTCTATAACTTTAAGCAACTGTCCTAACGTCGAAGTTTTCTCCTATCTCTCATTTCAGTGATTAGTCATCAACTTCAAAAGTTCCACTGAAGAAAAATAAAATGCTAAAAGCAACTTCTCAAGCTTATAATAAGACTGCAAAGAACAAAAATTGCCCACTTCAACTAGTACTGCACCGAAAGAACCGAACGGGTTATGTCAAAATACGCTTTCAAATCAACGTTTTTTACTTTGATGATGTTGCATTAGTCAACTGACGGAGGTAAAAAGAAGACTCAGAACCTTCTGAATAACTTTGTATAAAACAAATATTTCTAACTGTAATCAGAAACAGACTTTAAACAACCTCCTTTTGCCGATCGTCGATGCGAATTTGTGTTTAACAGCTATAACAAAACATGGCTTACAATATGTCGCTTTTTTTGGATCAATACCAGACAATGTCCCAGGTTGATCGCATTTAACGCAATGCCTCTTCGGAATGCTCATCTTCTTCTAAAAACTTTCACAGGACAAAGTAAAAGAAAAAAACCTTCAAAATGCACAACCAGGTGAGTAAGCTCTTCAAGCGTAACTTTAAATTAACCGCACAATCATATTCATTTACAAGTTTAAATTATGTATATCTGTAAACTAATTACCCAAAAAATTCCAACACAGAAAACGACAAAAAAAA